TCACTTGCTGAACCTTCGTACACGGGTGGTCGAGTGATTCATTGACATGAAGCTGATTGGTTTGGTGCCGTTCTTACTTTGGAATTGATTTTTTTTGATCATATCCTTGCAGCAGGGGGTTAACCCTTGGTTTGGAGGAGACCCAGTTCTGATGCTGACTGTTCTTCTCACCCAATTGATGGAAAGACAGAAAAACACGCTCCAACCCCCTGGTGAGTTTTGGCATACGGACGTGCTTCTAAATGCAGAGGATCCAAACCCGGTTCAAGTCACATCGATTCACCAGTCCGTGGGGACGCCATGGACGGAGCGTTGTTGTCGCCAATGGACGGCAAACCCATGTTTGAGGGTCAATCTCCTCGATAAAATGGTGGGGAGAACCTCTCCCATAAAACGGTTTAATAAAGTTTATGGATTTCTTATGGCTATTTCTCTTTGGGAGCTCGTTCAATGAATCGGAAGAGTTCGTTCGGGTTGCCGGAGTTCGATCGCTCGTTCGGCGCCCGAGTCTGGTTGGCACTTCGGCGCTCAAGCAAGTGAGGGCATACAGGACTAATATGGATTGACCTCAATGATGAGGTGGTTTGGGACAAAAACATGTCTAATGCTTGTGAGGTCGTCTCGGTTGTTTCTTTTTGCATAGCAGAGAATGCAGCAGAGAATGCACTTGATCGACCCCCAAGACGACAGACAAACGTTTTATACTGATGCCGGTTGCGGATCGTTGCGGGGTGTGAAGCACGGAACGGATCTCTTAGATTTTCGTTCGGGTGTGGGAAGACGGAACGACCTAGTATTTGATGGACCCAAGTTCTCCTGGACCAGGTGGAAAACCAATGTATTCCCAGCTAGAGAATCCATGAGAACCCAAGAACCTTACAGGAAGTAAGATGCTTACACATAACGCTTTTGGATGGTACCTGCATGGCCCGCATGATTGTAGTGGATTTGATCGTCATCATAGCCCTAAGATTTAGCTCTTCTGTATTTTGGCTACTTATAAATTGCCTATTATATGAAAGACATCTTCCATCGCTTGGCAGTTTGACAACACCACCGGATTTTACGGTGAATCCGTTGGTCCTTGGGGCGTTTTCTTTTTGGAGACGAGTCTTTGCAGATCTAAACCTGGGGACAGACCGATCGCGGGACCATCCTCAAACCTGGCTAAGATGGAAGAAATCCCTCAGCATATGGCAAACAGCTAATCGTTTTCTGTTTCTGATATGCATCCCCCTCGAACTAACAGTGTAGCAACAATTACATGGAAGGACAAGGAATTGGTGCAGGAATCCTGCAGGTAACCTTCCTTCAGCGCTCCTTCAAGCTGTGTTTTTTCTTTTCATGGCCTACACGGGGGGGGGGGCTTGGTGACGCGTCAGGGGTAGTGATAACTGTTGCTCCACCGCCAAGGATCCCACGATACTTCACTCCAATCGTCATTGGTGTTCGTTTGATATCCCATGCCTTGGTGTTTCTTTTTACAATGACAGAAAAAGGAATTCAGGTAGCCCGGCCTGGAAAGCCGCTTTGTTTGGGTCTAGGTGCTTCCTTGGAGTCCACCTTCTACATACCTCCATGTCCAAGGTGCCACTACTTTGTGAAGGCAAATTGAAGACCAAATGTTTAACACCTTCAGCCAAATTCATCCAGAGATGCCATTTCCTGTGGCATCCAAAAACGCGTTCGTCCAATCATCCGCCAGATAGGTCAGACGTTTCCACCCCGGGCTCCGCAAAATACACTTCACATCGCAGGCATTTCTCCTTGGACTTCGCGTCGCAGCCCACCCAGGTGGGAAGTTGGCCACTCCCGATGTTCTGCAGAGGTCTTACTCCCCTGCAGAGGACCACATGGACCCCAAAAAAAACACTGGGTTGCCATGAGGAAAATGGTCGAAACTGCCGGTGAATTCTCAGGTTCTTTGTTAGTCACTTACCAGGTCCATAGAACCATGTAAAGTCGATTGCTTTCTTCTTTCCACTGCAACTTTCCACTGCAAGCCCTTATTGGAGCAGGACAGATAAGAAACACACCTCAGACATCCTCAGACTCTGCGGTCGAAGATTGTGGTATTACATCCCAAAATCAGGTGGTTCCGGAACAAACCTCAGAGATGATCTAAAGTTGTTTGTACAGTAACATGGTGTTGAATTAGTTGGTTGATATCACTATGATTCTGGGAATTTCTCACTGAAGCTTGCAGCTTGATTTGACGATACTACACCAGTTTCAGGGGAGAAGCCATGTTTTGTTGATCATTTGCCCGGATAGATGAACCCACTCACAATTCGGTTGAAGCTAGAGGCCGTTTGGTTTGTGCATAGGCCGGTGCAAGATGGTGCAACATACAATAGCCTTAGACGAGTATCACAAAACCCCAAACTTGGTGGTGAAGATGCATCCTGGATCCCTGCAAATACTGCACACAATTGGCAGCATTTGCTCAAGAATGAAGGATAAAAGGGGTGTGACACCTCAAACATGAACCGTAGGATGGATGCGAGGGTGATGAATTCATTCACCATGGTAGTCTATAAAGATTCTCATCACCGAGAAACTCCTGTGACCACTCACAGGTGGCGACCGGACCGTGTTTGTTTCAGACCTGCACAGGTGTCGTTTTGGGGGGTCTCGCCGGTGGATTTGGTGGAGATCCGAGGGATGTGGCGAGAATAGAAGACTTCGCTTTCACCGAAGGATTCAGTGGCAAGGCTTTAACAAGTTGGATGAGATTACTTATTTGGGGATAAAGTTATGATAACTCATCTTCAACAGGCATCAGTGAGCTGGAGACCATGCACTATTGGCCCCGACGGAAGTTCACCGGGTGGCCAAGTTCTGCTATTGGCTGCAATCTAATCTTAGAAGAGCAGGGCAAAGGGGCAAAGGAAAACGATCTCAGGTCTACTGAAGATTCTGTATACCCATCTTGACAACCCATTTGGTGGATATCCTGGATATCCTGGATATCCTGGGTACAGGTAACATTTGTACAGATCTCAATGGGTGAAGATCCACAAGGGTTGCAAGAAGGGCAAACATGAAGGTGGACCCGTTTGAGAACCCTTGATGTGTTAAATGGGTCAACTGTCGAATCTCGGTGCCGAATCTCATGCCTGTCCTTGTTTCGATAGGGTGAAACTCTGTGAACCCTTGAAACCCATCAGCTCCCAGGCCGATGGCTTGTTACTTTTCAGTTTGCAATAGATGGCACAACCTGATGGTAGGAGACCCTTGTTCACTACACCTTAATAATCATTTGGGATTTGTGCCGTCTATAGATTTAGTTTTGCAATCTAGTCTGTTGATTTGTTTGCCGTCGGATGACTGATGAATTTGTCCATCTTCAGACCTGTTTGGGTTCCGCAGGCCTTTCCTCATTCAATTTCGCCAGCCCAGGACCAGCTGAATGTGTACGCAGCAACCCCGCTGGTCGTCTCTTCTCGTTGGGTGGGCATGTGGATGGGCTTGGGATCACAGCCCATAGCTGGTTTTTTGGGTTTGGGATCATTGGTAACAACAAGAGGGTTGCTCATTTTCAGGGAGGAGAATCTACCCAGAGCCCGGAACAGCAAAAGGCTTCTAATCCACACCTGGCACAAGTGTGAAGTCTCTGACGAATCCAGCGACCCAAGCCATGGACCAGCTCCCTCCCCTGCCGGCTTCGCTTCCGGGGTCGCGACCGGGACGGGTCCCTGACACGTGACACGGGTCCAAGGACCCCCTGAGTTCACATCGTCCCAATATCGTCTCACACTCAGGTTTCGAATTGATAAGAATGGGATATAATGGGCATGTGTCATGTGTCCAAGTCCAAGTTGCAGGGGGTGGGCAGAAAAGAAAACTCTTGCCTTTTGACAATACTAACACTATCATCATGCACTCTTCCTGGTGGGGTGGACACATCTTTAAGCCATGCATGCTGGGGTGAACTTCAAATGCTAAGCTGGGGTTGCAATGTACACGAGCCAAGATGGTGTGCTGAAAATCGCTTTGGATAGTTATGGAAACTAACACTTGCCAAAGTGTCTTGGGTCCTTGCTTCTTGGGGATTTTGGTGTCATGTAGGCCCAATGTAGGCAAACATAGGCAAACTGTTGGGTTGGACGATCTTTGGAAGCTGCATCTTCTTTTACCTCGGATCACCAGCCATCGACACCGAGAGGTCTCATGATGCTTGTTTCTTGTTCAACCGTACCGAAGACACTGTTGGAAGACAGTGTTGTGCCACCACAACACATGAAATATGTTCTCCAATCCTACTAGCTCAAATCCTGAGTGAAGTAGGAGTAGCTGATCTAGGACATGAAGAAAAGAGTGGGTAACAACTCCAAAGACTGAAGAAAAGAGGAAAGTTCTCCTGGACTCTCCTTTATTAGCTTCAATGTTTGTACATGAATTGCCAAATGTTTATAATTGCATAGCTTACAAGAGAAGGGCTTAATGTCATGTCCAACAAACGCCAGAAGCAGCGAAACAGGAAAACCTCCTTATTTCAGAGCTTTTTTGTAGGCAAGTACAAGGAAGATGATTGAAAGGTCCTATGGCATCACGCACGCTTCCTTGCATGAATTGGCTTTCAGCTTCTGGTCGTGGTGTTCATGGGTTCATCATGTCCACCTTCTTTGAAAAAAACAAACTATTTGATTCGTGTACAAGATAGCCTCCAAACGATACATATTGCTATAGTGAAGGGTTTGGACAAGAACTGACAGAATGAAATATAATCTGTATTCGTTCGATTGGATCAATTCCTTTTGCATGTGCAGCATCCGCTAGTCACTCAACAGTGCCAACCATGTCAGGTAAGGCTTTCAGGGATGATGAGTGTTATGGTCTTTCACGCCTTCAGGGTTCCATGTTTTGGGATGCGACACTCCAGTGAGCAGCCACTCATGTCTCATGTCTCACGTCTCAACCCAGTTCACCCCATGTTGGACTATTACTATATGCTTTGAGAAGTTTCGACATATTTTCCCCACTTACTTCGAGGTGTTTTGTTTGGTCCCGACTTCCTTGGTACGTCTTGATGGGACCCTCCAAGCTATGACGCCATGTGGAGACATCTGCAGCGCCACTTGGGCCTGAGATCGGTACAAAGATATTTATACTATAGAGCATGCAGCATGTTAGAGATATGTTTTTGTTTGTTGGTGTTGGTGTTTTGTGTTTTGTTGTTTAATGTGCCGTTGATATGTTCATCCCTATCCCCATGTTGTTTAACTTAGGAATGATCTCAAATACCTATAGATGTTCTTTGATCGATTATATAGATGGTATATCCGGAAGACCGTGTCTTTCAATTGATGCTACTGGAAAGTGCTTGGTTGTGAGGTGCTTTGCCGGTTTTGTAATGTTTTGTATGATCATGGCTGTTAGTTTGTGTCTTCCATCACTCATGGAGTCTATATAGATAGTTAAATATCGGTGTCCTGAACCAAACCTCATTGCAATGCATATTTTATTTGTATATGAACACATATGTGTTCGTGCTGGCAGTCGACAAGAGGGGACCGGGGTTCTGGCCAAAATCCATGTGCTTAGAAACACCTAGACAGATAGCAGTTTCCAAAATGACAATCAACACAGATGCATTTATATATATTATATATCCCACATATCATCCAATGGAATTGCACAATACTATGGCCCGAAGTATTCAATATTGTTCAAGCTTCGCGACAGTGACACTTGCTGCGGCGAGAGGTCCCTGGTTGACACATCCACACTATCGGCAGCAGCACCGCAATCGCCTGCGTCACCAGAAGATGTATATCCGCATGATGTTGGGGTGTTAATTTGACTCATTCTATTGTTGGAACACATTCTACCATTGGAACAGTCAACGCAGACCATTGTTGAAGGCTGCCTGATTTTCACCTGAATACCCTTACAGTGACCATCAAACAGGAATCATTTTGCATAGTTTATGACTCTATTTCTGTTTGTCATCTCTTTTCCAGTTCTGCTGTTCTACCAGTTTTTACTTGGCTATGGCTTATCCGGGCCACTTCACCTGGTGCCCTTTTTCGCCTCACGCCCGCCGACAGGTGATCGGGGGCCAACCGGCGCCCCTTCGGCTCCGCAGGCGGAAAGCGGCAAACGGAAACAGCGTTTGCAGTGGAAGGGGTGAAGGTATGTGAAGGTTGACATCCAATGTTATGCTTTGGATTTGTTTTTATTTGGTTCCTGTTTGTGGTCAATCAGATTGATAATCAATCAGTTTTGTCCTCATAATATTTGCCCTTGAACGCATAACCACACTCATTCCACACCATACTGTCTCGATTGACTTGACGCACTTTCCACACCATACTGTCTCGATTGACTTGACGCACTGATTTGAGGCTATGAATTGAAATACTCTGCAACATGCGCTTGCCGTATGCGCCTTGTGGACCAGGTGCCACATGCCTTCCAAAGCGGAGGTAGCCGAGGCAGGGGCTCAGGGTCATGACTTGCGAATTCTTGGTTGTCCTGTCCTCAAGTGGCGTTTGATTTACCATGAACCATTTGTTGGCCTATTCCCATCCCGCGATATGTATACATATATACATAAATCATATCACTAAGGCTGAAGTTTCGTTTTTGTTTTTGTGATTATGTTAATTAGTTTCCCCAGTCGGACAGACCTTTGGCACTGCAGTTCAGAAAAGGAGGTCCTGGGTTGAGATAGGAAAAGGATGAAACAACGTTGCATTTCATGAAAACACAATTGTTTATCTAGAGTCGTTGAGAGGTGGTGGTTTTCTGTTGGTAGCTATACGTTTCCTTACTGGGTGCAGTGGCTGTTGATTGCAGGTTGAGGTTCCCCTCGTGCAGAAAAACATAATGAATCAAATTGAACACTTCAACAAATGACTCCAACAGCGAAGAAAGTTGATCCAAAAGAGCAGTCTGTGCTCCCCCCAAATGCGCTCAGGTCTGTTGTCCACCCGATCCTGTGGTTTGATCAGGTGGTGTTGATCTCTATTCATTGCGACCAGCCCACCTACCAGGCAGTTTATGCAGCCGCGCCAGAAGGGCCCCGGCGAGGAGGCGGTGGGAAACCGCATGTGAACCGAACGAGAAGAACTGGAGAACCTAAGTTGGACATCTTGTAGGAAGGGTGAGGAACTTTCCTTTCAAGAGTCTCCTCCAGAGTTGGTCCAGTGACTCTGCCTGAGGATCTTTAAACAATTGTCAAAAGATGAACTCTGGAGCAATCCTCAAAAAGAGTGACTTGGGGTATCCCAGCCCACACGTGGTCGCCTTAGAACGAATAGAACTTCCAGACACAATGGAGGCTGGCGGTCCAGTGCCAGTTCAGAGTGCAGGGCCCCTTCACTTCTCACCTTCGAAGATGAAAGATCTTGAGAATATGAACATGCTTTCCGATACTATTCAAGTAGAGCTGGGTGTTCATATTATCATATTGTCATATATTGTCCCATGTCGTATGTCCTTTTTTATGACCAAGAACCAAACATGCTTGAAGAACAGCTCTTGTTTTGGGAACGATCTTCCGACCAACGGGTTGAACCCCTTCCCCTCCAGCAACTCCCACTCTAGGTCGCCAATCGTTGCGAAAATTGAATATGACTGACCCGTGCTTCGTAGGGACTCAGGGAATAACCATGAATAACCCCTCACACAAAAAGACACCTGAGCGCATATCCATGTCCTCATTCCCAATACAAGTCGCACAAGTCAGATAAAGGGTTCTTTCTCGTCCCTGGTTCCGGACTGGATTCCTCTATGATCCATCGACGTCACCTCGTCACCTTCGACGGCAGGACCACTGTGTTGCCGACGGCAGTCAGCTCGGTGGCCCTCTTTTTCACGCTGGGTTTCTCCGTGGCCAAGGCGGACTTGACCTTCAAGGCCGGCGAAAAGTCGCTCGGTGAAGCTGGGATCCAGGCAGATGGATATGATGTTGCTTGGTAAGTTCTCCACATTTTGTGACTCATCCATCTACATTCCATGTAATGAATGGGTAGATGGCAGAGGTCACCTTGTTTTGAGTCCACAAGAAGTGATGCAAGTCATTTGCTGATTTGGATTGATTTGGGCATGAGGTGAGCCAGGGTCAAACTGCTTGAAGAGGTGCATGAGATCGCAAGGACCACTTTTTGACCACTCTCCAAAGAATTGGAGCCAACCAGACCGTAGCAAAGCCGCATTGGAACCAAGCTCACATCAAATCCGGCCACCAGCATGAGGTTTGAAGTCGTTACTCGCCGCCCGATCGGCAGGTCTTTACTCGCGATCCGCAGGGCTATGCCTCGCACATCCGTTGCTCGGATCCGACTGGGCCCTCGGTGTTCCATGGGCGGAGAGAGTTGCGGCAGAGGAAGAAACGGAAGAAACGACCTTCAGAAGTTTTAAATGGATCTGTGTTCCTCTTGGAGAATGTAGGTGCATGGATCTACACAAGGGTATGGCATGGCCGGGTAAGGGTGAATGAAACATAATTATTTTGAATGAAGGGGAATCGAATCGTTTAGTTTAGTTGATTCTTTCTGAACGTCGGATGCCGTTGGCCTTCCCTACAAGTTTGACTTCAAGGCGTCCAATTGTTGAAGCTGCTTGGCCTCGTTCTGTGACAGCCTGACTATCCCTGAACATGCGCGGAACATTTTGGCCAAGCCGAGAGGGGCTTGGACGTAGGTAGGGCACGGTAGGGCCAGATAGGTGGTGCTGGTAGCCGATAGTTAGTCTTTGGGGTCTTGGGTTGGTTCGCATTGATGATTGTCCATGCATACTCCAGTAGTTAAACCATCAAGTCTTTCATAGTCTTTCATACCCACAAAACGAGCGAGAAAAAGAACAACATAACATATCAGCTATCACAAAAGCATTGAATGAATGTAAATTTGGTGCCCCTCGTCATCCATTTTCTCTTGTCGATCCACGTCATGTAGTAACACATCCGACCGTCATCCGACCCGAAAAAACCGCCGAGGCTTAGTGGACGGTTCGCAGATCGAGTACTTCTCCGATGAGTTCAACGAGCTTTGCACCCAAGTGGGCGCGACACCGGTGTCGGCCAACAACCCCATCGGTGCAGGCGAGCGGAGACTGGGGCGGCAGGGTAAGACATGTTGACAAGAGATGAAGAGCTCACGTGGAATTGAAACATATTGAAACTATATGCATCTATGTGGGCATTGACTTGACTAGAATTTGCTCTGAGATTTGTTGAGATGAGTGAGAGGAGTGAATGTCTACTCCGGTACTCCAGCACTTGGATGTCGCGCCAGTACTTGGTGTACTTGGTGTGTTCGTGCTTCACTTGTCGCTCGTTTTCAAGAAGACTCCCCCATTGGGTCAGGTTAAGCTACGACATATGGGGGCTTGGAGTCTGTGGATTCGCTCAGGGTTCACCTCGACGTATGTGTAGCATTTTTGACCCATAGACCGACAGCCGCGCACAGGAACCTGCTACTAGATCGCCTGACATTGGGCCTTGCACTAAAAACATTTGAATGCTTGTGGTTCTGTACACATCATGTGTGATCTGACATGTGCAAAGCTTTAGATCAGATCGTGTGTACTCTACATAATTCTACATATATCTACATATTCAAATATATCTATTGTAGATTGACCTCTCAGCATTTGCTCAGGCTGCCACCTGAGCTACCTGGGGCCAGCAAGACCAACTTGATTTGTTTTTGCTTATGTAGTGTTCTTTGATGTTCTTTGCTTTATTCAAGGCTGGCATTTGAGCGGATGTTGGGATCTTAAACGGTTTCGATTTCAACTTTCTTCACGTCCACTGGCATCCGAAAAGAAGACCACTGCCGTGGTGCTGTTGAAGGAATACATCCTGCTCCACCATGTTCCAGCTCAAACTTGAAGGATACCCCCACGACCTGAATACAGTTCCTGCCTAGCCTTCCAAGTGGTGTAAGTATCAGTAGCTACTTATGTTGGCAGTACTTCTGTGTTTCATCTACTCTACTCTTCTGCAGATTAACATGGACCCTGAAAAGTTCAATGTTGTTCTATATAGTAGTCTGCAGATCAACCTCGCAGTTTGGGCTCCAGGTGTCGGGCTCCAGCCGTTTTCCGGATCTTTGGGTGCCAACGGTGTCAACCCTCGCCTCTGCAGGCTGCGATGTGGCGGGTGGCAGCTGCGTTCAGGGCATCTCTCAGCGATTCCAACATCCACAGGCACAGATCGAAGGGATCACCGCGGTTGGATGTGAGGCTTCACGTTTACCAATGTGTGCTTTGGGAGTTTGAAACAACACCTTTGACAGGTTCTAATGGTTGTTGGCCTTGGGTTGGCCTTCGCAGAGACCACCGAGGGACAGCGGTTGCAGGGTCACCTCCACGTCGGCTTTTCCCCCGGTTTCTGACGGCCGCGTTCTGGTCGAAAATGAGTGACCAGCTGTACAGCTGTGGGGCGCAGGAGGAGGACCATCCTACTCAGTCAGTGGATCAATCTCCCACCCTCCAGGTCCTTCGCTTGTCCGTCCCAGCTAGGTGAGGGAGGTGGATGCCGCAGCCCGTGCTGAGTTGCCAGTGCCTCGACAGCCATGACAGCTGAGGTGTTGAGCGTTTCGTACTTTGGTTGGGCTACATGTTCATGTGCTGCTACATCTAGTAGGCTTGTTTTTTGCGTCATAGAATTGGGGGAGGGAGAAAACGGCTAGTATAGCCCCAACAAGCTACTGGGAGCTGTTCGCATTTCTTTTCCACCCACAGGTCTCCGCATGTCGGTTGATGCACTTCGTTGAGAAAGACCTGATGGAATGGCTGATGTTTGCTTCGTTTGGATTCGGATGGCCGAACTGGGCCCAGTTTCCCACGATGGCCGACTTCATGTGTGGCCATGTCTCCATCTCCAGGTGTCCCCCGGACTGGTCGACCGATCTGAGTCGCACGCCACCGCGAGGAGCATCAGTACTTGGAAGATGGGCAGCTGGACAATCCCTACTCGGGCCGTGTCAGTGCGGGCAACTACACCGAAGTGATCACCACCAAGGTGCGGGGCAATGGCCAGCGGGTTGTGCTTGGGAGGGACGCGGAGGCCCTATAGGGATTGATGTCTTTGGTGAGTTGGGGTAGGAGAATGTCACAAGAACATGGATGGACGCGTAGAACATACTGCATAGATATAATATGTATAATGCTTTATATAATAAACATGTAAATAACTATTATATAGTTATATCTAGTGATTCTAATGAACTGGTTGTGTCATGTTTTCTGTCTCTAATGTGCTTGATAAAACATGGACATGCAACCGGGAGTTGAGTGCAGATCTGGAGCAACACAAGAGTTGTTTTTTTGTGTTGCCCTCAAATCCTTTTTGGAAGGGATACAAACATATAAGTCAGAATGGACATGGCTTTTGAATTTTGAATTCAGGGAGGACAGGTTTAAAATTATCGACGGTTTCCGGAAAAATTAACATCGCTCCAAAGGAAAGCGATGTCTATTCTTTTATGGCAGTATACATACAGTATCTCTAGAGTCCTGAATACTTCAAAACTTGGATTCCGCTGTTGATTGTACCTTTTCTGGTCAGCACGGCACTCTTTCGTTCCAGGGCACTTGTAGGCTGAGCAGAAAACCAAGACATGATGCACAAGGGGGCCAGGATGGTGCAGAGCACTCGTGGTACCTATCAAGGTGGATGAATAGCAAGGTGGATGAATAGCCATGTGACATCTTACAAAGATGGACTCCACTATTTATTCCAGGATATTCCAGGCACATTTATTGGGTTCAGCTAAAATGTTAAAGAACATGGTGAGGTTGTCGTGCTATTTTGTTCAACGTCAAAGTTTGCCCTTTGACTGAGCTAGGCACCCCTCAAAAACGGAATATCTTCAAGAATAACGTCCTCTTGTGTATCCACTTTAAAGTTTACTGAGAAATGACCATAAGAACAAACAATGTCATGTAAACATGATCCGCTAAAGTTTTCTAAAGGCAATGTAGAGCCTCCTCAACTGCACAGAATCTCATCGATCAGAGTAGAGTAATGAGGCTTTAACATATTTTAACAGACCAATTCTCCCACGCTCAGGTCCCAGTATAGTTTCCACCAGGCATCACACCTAAACCGAACCCAGCTCCCCTGATCCATTCCCGAATCAGCTCATCAGCTCCGCCCTTGATCCGGCCCCGGCTCGAGGAGTTCATCCCGGATGGCGATCTACTTCCGGTGCCGCACACGCGCACGCAGCTCTGTCACTACGCCTTGCGGCTCACGCAACCCGTGTGGCTCGGACGGACCCGGAGAGTCGGAACTCCGGTTCGGCGAGGTTGGTGTCGGTTGGTGCAAGGTGAATGACGACGTCGTATAGTTTTCTTTTAGCACCAACCGACGGGCGGACTCAGGGCTTAAGATCTTTGATCCTGTTCAACATACTGTTGGAAGGGATACTATTTGCATTAGTATTTGCAGTGCACCCCAACAGCAGTGGGAATGTTTTTTCAGCCCAAAGTAGCAGCGTGTGACAAGAATCTACCACAAGAACAATCATTACAGTACTTGCAACTAGACACTCATCCAGAGTATTTGCAAGTCTCACACTTCTCACTCGCTTCTCGCTTGTTTTCTTGTTTGCTTCTGGCCTGCTTCTTCGCAAATTCTTGCTTCTGTCACCGAGGAGTGCGCAGAATTCCGCTGCTTGGAGCCGATTCAAACAGCTGGTGGCCTACGGCTTTGAGCTGCTTCGACGCCGAAAACGACAACGCAGCACACGGCTGGGCTGTTCGCGGGGGGAAGCCTACGCCGTATGGGACAGATTTGGGACAGACTGGTGGAAGAAGTGAGCATCAGTGAGCCATCGTCCTGGAAGTTGCAGGGTGCAGCATGGATATGTCCGGGTTTGAAGCATAAACCGAGGATCTCCCGAAACACCATGTTATCCAGATTGAAAGTTGGTTTAGTATCAGTTTTGGGGAGAGGGGCGCAGGATACCCGGAATGGGATGGAATGGGTATAGGGGGCAACTGAGACTCAAGGCACCCCAAAAGCCTAGTGACACCGCTGATGAGCCGAATTGGTGTCGGCTGGAAAGGGAGCTTTGGATATATGATGTTGGCCGTTGGCATGTTCGTTTTGGGCCTCCCGAGCCTGAGGGTGTCACCGGTTTCTCACCGGCCGTGCCAAGCTCTCAGGACTGAGTTCCACTTCCGCGTCTTCCATCGCACCAAGGAGTCTTGGCGCAGGGGACCGGGACCTGGACGGAGTCTTTGCGCAGGGGTCCTCAGGAGAAATAGGATTAAACATGAGCCAAAGACGAGTGCCCTTTCTTTGACACATGGCTCTTGTTCCTTGACATCTTTTAGATGCTGAGCCCAAGAAGGAAGAGTCGTTTTGGTGAGGAAGATGGGAGGGTGACCAACTCTTCTCATCCGGTGATTTGGTGACTTGCATGTTGAGTGCGGTCACCAAAGAGAAGCTCTGCTTGCAACTGCTTCTGTGGCCCCAAAGCCTCGCAGTTTCAACGGAGAATGACACCCAGTGGAACGGAATCAAACCCAATGTGCAGAGAGCTCAAATCTCAAAGACTGTTTTTGACAAAGGTATCTAGTCATATTTCCGGTTTTCCCAATGTGCAGAGTGACTTCCTTCGTTGTCTTTCCAACTCGCTCCACGACTGTTGTCTTTTCCTGATGTTTTCTTGTTAATAGAATGTTGACACAGGGCTCGTTCCTGTTGGTGGGCCATATCATTCGAAGTATTTATATACAAAGGGCCAAAGTTGAGATGGAAACCCTTTGCAGTTGGCTTCCCTTCCGACCGCTCAACACTGAAGTGCTATAGCATGATTTGGATCTATCTATCATATATGCATCCTCCATCCATCCTCCATCCATCCACCACGAAATTGGCGTCACCTGTTCACAGACCTCGGCCGCTCGGCCGCCTCCCATCCCCCTCATCCCCTCAGGAGTGCTGGATCGGCGAGTGGTGTGAGCCCGCAGGCGCCGATGGCTTCGCTTTTGTGGTGCAGAACGAGGGACGCAAGATTGTGGGCCGCTCGGGCGGTCTCAATCATCGGGGCGGGAGAGGAAGCACACTCAAAGGTTGAGGCAAGAGTTGGCATATCCAATTCTACCCGAATCTACCCGTTGCATAGCAAGGCATTTGTTTGCTTCCAAAGAACCTTTTCCTGGTGTAAAAAGAACGATGAGCTACCGCAGCCCTGGACCAATAATTGAAGCCAGCCAGTGGTCAGACTGCGACTTTTCTTGGTGCCCAAGCCAACAAGAAGGCGATAAATTTTCTAGACTCAGACCAGATCTTGTCCAAAGGCCGCCCGTGTGTCAGTCCAAAAGAGGTTTTGCCCCTTGGCCTGAGGAAGAGGTTTGACCAAAAGGCCTCAGGAAGAGGTTTGGGTCCAGCAGAGGTTTGACACTTCTCATGTGTGTTTTGTTGTTCGAACATGTGTTTCCAAGAAGTGATGCTGCTGAGGTAATGACATCTCGGGCAATGGCTACGGCTTCCGCTACAGCTGCTTGGTATCACTTGCAACGCGATGCACGGCGAGAGTCCCACATGTTTACACCATCCAAAGCTAAGCAGACCAGGACATGATGTTGGCTGTCGTTCGCTGTGCGAAACTTGATAACCGTACAATTGGACTGAAAAACAAGAAACGTGTCCAAAGAGTTAACATGCCACGCTGATGATCCACTGGATTCTGAGATGTGACTGTTGCAAGAAAAGATGTTAGTGATGCTAATTGATCCTCATTGCTTTGTGAACATCAGAAAAGCCACAAGCTGAGTGATACTCATTTTCAGTGTAGCCTCAACGCCTTTTGGTTGGCTTCACTCTTCACGCCCCTTCCTGAGTTCAATTGTAACCCAGACCCTTAGGCCATCTTAGGCCCTTTGTCCTTTTGAAGCCTGGAAGCCTGTAGGTTTGGCGGTGGAGTTCGACATGTATCGCAACCCGGACCTTGGGGAGCTCACTGGGAACCACATCAGCGTGCATGTGCCACCGCGCAAAGGCGGGCAGCACCGAGAGTAGTGGGTTCAGTGGGGGAAATACATGAGAAGTCGGACTTGTCATCGAAAGTGAACCATCACTCATCACCAGTGAAATATTCCAAGCATCACAAGATACCTCACCGACGAGGGAACGTATGAACTCATCCACTGGTGATGCCCGGATCATGATACATCAACTCATCTTAAATCCATAACTAGTAACAAAGGGCATCGCTACTAGGAACAAGAAGCTACTAGTAGCTCGCTTGACTCACCAGGCTTCATCCCAGCTCGCTCTGCCCGCCCCTGCTCCGTCACCAGGAGAGCCCAACTCGGCGGACCACCGGCTCTCATCGATTGCGCCTGGGACGGGACACCGCCAGGTCGTTGCAGTCGGTGCAGGACGAGGGGGTTGCTGTGGGGAATTTGCGCGGAGGGTTTGTGCCAAGTTACTTTATATTTCTGTTCCCGCAATATACTGGCCTTGTGTTGGACAAGAGTCTCGCCATTCAGGAACAGAATAGCTTCCTCCCCCCTTCACTTGCACCAAGGCCTATACCGACGACATTCCTCCACTGCAAGAAGGGACACATGTGGTGCGCATCGTCTATGATGTCAGGCAGGGAGGCTTGGAATTTGAACATGAATGAGTCCCTTGTTTACATATTATGGTTTGCACACTTTAGACATGAACACAATCAGAGCCCTATAAATAGGGTCCTGTTTGTTTTGGCCCGTGCCCCCAAAATGGCCGCTAGATTCCACATCTTCAGTATGTTTGCAAATTTGGTGGAGGATTGATGTGGTTCGCGAAGTATCACTATCTCAAGCCCAGCTCGGTGATGTGACACCTCCATTCTCTATCACATTTGGGTTTGTGTTCCCTTTGCGCTGGAACAAAACAACAATCAGACGATCAACAGGCCCGGTCAGCAAGTTTGCAAGCCCAAGTTTGCAAGCCTTGGTGTTCCACAGGTTTTCCTCCTGCCAAGGTGTTCATGCCAAAACCACTTGCGTTATTTGCTGAAACAACCCGTTGGCGTTGGAGTAGATCCCATCCGGACGTTTGGACATAATGGTTTTTTGCTTCTTGCCCGATCATAATTCAGTGAGATTGGGTCACCTACAATGGTATGCCTTTTGTTTTGTGGTGTAGTTATTGGCTTTTCATTCAAGACAAGTGATTCAAGTGGTTGGTTGTTTCTTCACATTCATTGGTGCCCGCCATCAAGTTGATGTTGTTTTTTTCCCAACTTCATGAGCAGCAAGGCTGACAACCAAACAACACCATATTACGAAAATGGCGGCCGGCACTTCATTTTAAGCTTTGTGCGCTCTACATGAATTTGGCAGAGGGAGCATGGTGCAAATTAGGACCAAGGGTGCACTCTGCTGCAGGGTCACCAGATCAGCTAACACAAAGCTTATTGATTCAGTTGACTCCAATAACTTGTGTCTTTCAGGGAAGTCCTTGGTGCTTGGATACAGCATGTTTTTGACTTTCTAAGCATTCAGTGCCTGCTTCCCAAGCGATTTCCAACCTGAATGGCGTACCCTGCCCAGTAGCATCCGCTGGGATGAGTACGGCACGGACTTCGACTCGGACGCCACCGGTGACTTCCTGCGGCTGCAGCACAGTGGTCGTGCAGGCGAGGTGATTGGGTCGTTGGGTTGCGCAGGTCCATGAGGTTCCATGTGACTTGAACAGGTCTCACCTGTTGATTTTTACCATGAGTTGTTTGGTTCCTCAAATCCGAAGATCCTGTTGGATTCATTTAGGATTTTCCATGTTGGAGGAAAAAACGGGCTGGGGAAGAGGTATGGTCAATGGCTACAGTACTTTGTCCAACTGATTGACCGTGGACCGGTTCAGCGGTTGGGCATTTGCTGACAATCGGCCAGGATCTGGTCAAGAATTTCCGCAGTTTTTGCTGGAAAGTTACAATCAAGTAGCATGAAATCCAGTTGATCAGTTGATCCCAGTTGCTTGGTGGTTGTTGGTGGCAGTAAAATAGGATCCTTGGTGAGGTCTTTCGGAAAGAGCCAAATTTTAATAAGCCACACATGTGGGAATCTTCAAGCACTCACTTGCAGCCCGTCGAGAGTTGTGCTTTAACAACTCCAACTGAGGCCGGAAGTAGCTTGTTGTTGAGAGACATGTTCTCAATTCTTTGGACATTGCCGCAGGTCAACAGAATCACGTTTGCGTCGAGTACGCGCCGCCTTGTTGACACACCGTCGAACCACCGTGGGATGACCGGTGAAGCGGCTTCGACGACCGTGGACCCGTGGACCCGTGGACGTCTCGCCCGACGTGTCGCCCGAGGTCTCCTGTCGGTGGAGCTGGACGGACGTCGCGTCATCGTGGTGCCTGTGGAGACTTGGAGTTGAGGACTCACTCAGTTCGAGGAGTCAGTTTGGGGAAGCAAAGAAGGACGAGCCAGCGGGGTTGGAGTTATGGTGGGAGGTTGTGGGGAGTGGTAAGAGTTGGAAGTTGGTCCGATTTTCGTTGGATGCTGGTTGACTACCTCGATGTCAATTCAGTACTCAAGTAGGGCCGATTGTTTCCAAACGATGTAGTCGGTCCAACCGTTGCAGCTTCACTATCAGCTGTTCTTGACTTTTTCACCTGTGGAAATTGTTGAGTGTGCCTGCCTGGCTTGAATGAAAGCAAGCCTTTTTTTGATTCTTGGGTCGCTGTACTGGCAAGAATGTCCAGACTATTCCAGACTGCATATGTCATATGTAAAGGTATTGCAGTTTAACGCTCGAAAAGGAAGAGGTGATATTATCACCCAAGAGTCTACAGTCTACATATATGCATATACATGTGTATACATGATGTCATGTTCAAAACCAATGACCGGTTCTTCCGCCACCTGCCCTAAGGACCTGGCCAACATCGTGAACGTGGACGGCACTGAGAAGGCCACCGCCAACACGCCCAGGCCGATGGCGCGAGGAGGTCAGAAAATTAGATGTATGTATGTCAACCGTTTGCCTCCATGCCCACCACTTGTCAAAAAGGCCAAAAGACTTACCAAACATCATCATCCACTGACAGTGATAAGTCTGCACCAGTCCGTATCACCTTTTCGGCACAGGCCTGTCACCCGCAGTCCTGTCATACCAGCGTCGAGCTGCGGAGTTCCCGTGTCCAAACGGCAAACGGATTCTCCGACTTCTCGAACGATGATGGTCGCCCTTCGGTGGCCGTGGAACCAAACACGGCGCGTCCTTCCGCATGGGTGTTCAGTTGGGGGGGGGAGTGGTGACGTGTTGTGTCCCACCCGAAGTGACGCAGTGGCGCGGCTTGGAAGATTGATGAACCTTGGCTGACTGGTGCTTAGTAGCCCTCAGTAGAGATTCCATTAGATCCATTCCCTCATTCCTTACTAAGCACAAGTCAGTTGGGTGCCATTGTATTGCAGGGAGAGCAGGGAGAGTGTGTTTGTTCGTTTGAGATGTGGAACATGGTGGAACTCTAGGGTGCCGACCGCTGGAAACATGAGGACCAAGAATTTAAGCAAAGTCATCAGAGAATAGCAGGAACGTGCGCATCGCACTCCGTGCGTCTTTGAGTCACCCCCGTAAGTTGTCGTTCAGAAACAGGGAAGTTGTTATACGCGGAAATCGCGCAGGTTCAACGTGTGCAAGTTGTGTTTTTTCCAAGACAGGTCCATGTGACCTTGGTGTACCTTCCGAGTGGATTTTAGTCCCAAGCCATTCTCAAGCCATGTTTCTACGTGGCCGATTTTCCACACATGGAAAGAACGAAATCCACACGATTTTCCACATGTGTTTCACTTCTTCTCTTGGAACGATATGTCAAGGGAACCAGTGCATGTACAGAACCCCCAAGCTCCAAACCGCTCTTGAAGTCTCAGAACCCGCTTCAGATTCTGGACCGCTCGTCAGGCAACCGGATCCTGAAGCTTATGACGAGAAGGGCGCTAGTCCTGGACGTGCATGGGTGGGATTTAGCAGCAGCACCAGCTACTTCCAATTCCAGCCCCTCAGATGCGCTGCCCATCATGCGGGGATCGGGGATCGGGCGGGCAAGGTTTCGCACACCACGTTTGAGCTAGCAGTGCCTATTCATGTCAAAGACAGGACCTGCTTGTTGTTCCTGGTTAAGTTAAGAAAGCTGCTGAAGGTTCCGCAAGGACTGGGATGTGTTTTTTTTTTTTTTTAGAATAGGGATTTGTTCTGTAGCACAACATGTATATATGTCAAAAATGTCTGTCAAAAGGAGGTTCATCCCTGTGTTCCAAAGATACTCACGAAGCAGTTTCATTTGCTTGTGTGTATATTGCAATCAGCATTTTTCATTGTGTATGCTGGTGTTTCTTCCGAGTGATTTTTCGGGTGTTCCAATTAATAGGTCTTTCTAAGCTACATTCTAACACATTCAACATGTCCCTATATTCTGTATGCTGATGTCCCTATATACTATATACAATATTCCCCAACAATAGGTCTCCCTGGTATATATATATATATAATATGTCGGATGTGGTGGAACATTTGATTTGGCTGCTTTCCAACGCGCTGTCTACAGCGAGGTCTGTGGATATCCTTTCCTGGACCTTCCAGGAGGGCCGTCTCCGTCTCGAGCCAGCTGCACGTCACCTCGTATGGGGTACCAAACGCAGCGGAACGACCTCCTGGAACACGTTTGACTTCCCGTTGGTTGCCTTTATCTATTGTGGTTCCTTGCGGGTGTGAAAACTATAATAGTTGTCCTTCAAGTATCGGATCAACAAGCTTTCATGGCCTCAGATGGCCTTGCCTCTGACATGTCGAACATGTAGTTCCATGATTCTTCCTCGCCATGGCACTTACAGGTCGAAGCTCCCTTCCTCACTTCTTTGCGTTCCGAAAAATGGCACAGACCTGGCACCCAGCCGCGGGCGACCAACAGGAGTATGCGGCCTGCCCCTTGGACGGCGTGGAGGATTCCCGTGCCACGATCCGGGGCCAGGGACCAGAGGCCCACCAGAGACCTGCGAGGGGGACCTGCGATGGAAGACACGGGATGATGTTGACCGACATTGACCGACAAAAACAATCAGACCATGTGAACCATGTTAACTATGTTAGTATAATTATATATTTTTATTATAGTTTTTATTATATAATGTACAACTTAAGTTATATTATATATACTGCAGTACAGTCAGTATTTAAAGTCATCCCTGGGTAGTTAGAATCAGTTGAGGTTTGAATGCTTGGTGGGATCGAACAGTGGAGGGTGTCGAACAGCGCCTTCGGCGCCTTCTCGAGCTTTCGCCAGGTTCTTGTTCTGGTGGGTTTTGCCATGAGCCCGATGACTTAGAACCATCCAAGTTGTGCCATGCGATCGTCAGGACACCGCAGGATCTTGGCGCCAGCAGGATATGTCGTTTGGATCTATCCAAGAAATCGAAAACAGATGTAGGTGACAATGACACCTTCCACAAGATCTTTGCACTTGTGGGGTTGGTCTCCAAGTGTGTGCTTTGTCAGCTATCCACAAACGACCTGTTGATGAGCTTGCTTCAGGTCTCATTTTCCCACAAGCAGTTGGCTCATGGAAGATCATGAAACTAGGTGCTTGTGGATGAAGAATAATCTGTTTATGTGAAACTGGGGCGTCCAAATTTGCGAAGCTGATGGGTTGAAGACCCATTCTACGGACCTGAGGCACCAAGCGAAACGCCAATGTTTGTGCCATTGGCGTCACCTGTGCACAGGTGCACTGCATCATCCGAATGGGAACCTTGGGTCGGAGCACTTGCACATGGGATAGAAGGCAGAACTGCAGCCTCATCATCCAGCCGCTTGGTGCGAGGCTTTTGCTTGTGTGATTGCCGTTTGTAGTGAGTTTCTGAGTGTTTCTTATATAGGATGTGTATAAGAGGTTTGGCTTATTTTGACCTGGGCCTGGTTGTGGGTGTGATGGGCATGTCACAGAGAGTTACCCCTCAAGCTGCACAATCCGCCTGTCCCCAGTATTTTGCTCCCACTTGGAATAAGAAGTCCGCATCCAAACTCTTGCGGCAGGGAAGCAATCATTTTGTTGACAAGTTCTTACCCATCGGGCCTCAATAGGTACTCCCTTTTTCAAGGGGAACCTTCAATGTTTGCCTTAGCAAAGGCACACCAATAGTATAAGGATATTCCATATGTATTTAATAGTAGAATAATGTATTATATATATAATATAGTGTTCAATAATCACAATCACAGGAGAAGGCCACTTCTGGAAGAGGCACAGGCCCCAAATCCTACCCAAGGGGTGGTTGTTTGTCAAAGCCTTTGTTGCTGCACTGACAACCCGAGATTACTTGACAACATGACAGCATGTGTGTCGGTGCTTTGTCTTCACCGGAACCAAGATGCATCCAGAAACAACCACCCAGAATCCAGAGTCGTCCTTTTTTCCATGTTGTTCCTTCGCACCGCAGACATTTCCCACCAAGTAGCACTTCTGGGAAGGAGTCGCTATCAAAGCTGGAAAGACGACGAGGGTGACGACGAGACATATGGGTGATGAGGGCTCTGAGGAACGCCGGACGCTCTGAGGAACGCCGGACGCTCTGCCATCAAGATCTCTGCACACACCAGCCACCAGACCGCAGATTGGTGGAAAGGACCTGGATTGAGGGGGAAGTTTGACTCCACCCGAACACACAGCGTAATGCAACAAAAGTGGGTGGACTACTATACATACGTCCGGAATCACTAAGTGTAGACGCAACAAGCCAAAAATAAAGAAAAACAAAAGACTGTGAAGATATGAGGCGTCCGCATAGATCGAACTCCACCACATACTGTCGTTGGCCACCGTATTTTTCACTCGGGTTCATCGAGAACATTTGTGAAGAAACCATGAGGATTCCCAAAAGTCAGTCCCCCCAGAAGCGAGAGGGGTAGCAGGCCAGGCCAGGACTCCTGGTTCAGCGGTGGAGATTTGGCTCACTTTTGTTTTGCCCATCCCACCAAAAAGGAGATCCTCTTTTGAGCGAACAAAACAACCCTTTGCAACACGATTCCCAGCCTTTTGTTCAGTAGCAGAGGCTTTAGATGTGGTAGTTGTTTGGGGTTAGTTATTACACATCTCACCCACTAAGCAGCAAGCCGCCAGCAGGGACAGAATTGGGCATATGACATCCAACGGGGAACATGTGCACCTGTTAGAATATTGCCGTGGTAGCGGAAAGAAGGGGAGTTGAAGCCTATGAAGAAGTAAGAAGGGGAGTTGGGGGTGCACAAGTCGAATTCTTCGGATGTATGTTCCATCAAGCCCCTTCTCTCCTATACGGTCCAATACTACCTTAGCAATCTATTCCACGTCATGCTGTTGATTTTGTTTAGATCACACCCTCCAGTGACCTCTCTTCGCTGGTAAACTCCCTGCAGATGCGTTTGTGAATCAATGGAATCGGCTCACTGCCCGGGGGCAGTTGTTTCGGTGGGCATATTGGGGGCGCGCGCGATATTCCTCCCCAATGTGGCATTCTACTTCTTTGAATTTTGAGTCCGATGGTGTTGAAGCAACGCCAAAGTTCCTCCTGGATTCGGTCGCTGATTCCCTTCTTTTTCGCTCACACCTAGATTTTGACCGAGGGACCTTTGTTCTGCACCAACGCGGCACGCTGGAACTGATATCATCGATGGGGTTTTGTCAGGTTTTGCCCCTTTTGCGGTTAATAACGAATGACACAGCTCCGTCTGACAAGTGCTTTGTGCAACGAAAACCAACGGATCGTCACGTCCGGTGCTGAACTTGGAGGAAGTCGGGGTGCCCCCGGTCACATCCACTCAATCAACAAGGGTTTTACCAAAAAAACACATGAAAAACCACCCGTTTGGAATTCATGGGGACATGGTGCCCATCATTTGGCTACCATCCAACCCCCTGCATCAATTGAAGGCATCACCAGCGTCGATCGACCTCGATCCACCAGACGGTGGCCTTTGCGCTTGGTTCCACAAGAGAGTTCTGAGGCGGTTCATTTGAATCAAGTTCATGGGTGGTCGCATATCTGTCAATATTATGTTTCTTTTTTTCACGAAGGCAATCACGAGGTTTTCTTTTTTCTGTGCAACATGTTCATTGAAAGAAACAAGGTGTTCTGAAGGTCTTAGGTGGGTTCTTTTGTTGAGGGGCCGCGTTGTGAATTCCGGTGATCTCCCTGCTATTTCAGGAATTCCTCCAGTCCGGGTGCACCAAAGTATGGTTGGAGCCCTAGGGATGGAACACCATGAAGGTTCGATGTTGGTCGTTTGGATTCGAGGGGGTCATGGCTCGCTACTGATAGAAGCGAATGCATGGAGCAGAACCCAAGTCACAGGACCTGATTCCTTACAAGCCACATCCAGCGAAACAGATCACCTTGAAATGCATAAGGAACCGACCAGTGTTGATCTGAGACAAAGTAAACAGGACCAGGCTGGGACATAACAAGCAGGTTGACCCGCCTCGGCATGTGCGTCCCGGTCAATTTGGTAGGAATTCCTTAGGATGGATGAGTGGAGAGACCTATCATGCATTCCTCATCATTGTGATATTGTCCTATCTCATCATATCATATCATCAGATTGCATTTTGGCATAATTGCATTGGACCCCTCCTTGGTCCACGACCATTGATTGCCATGGCCATGGAGATTTCCCTTTTGCAGCTGAGTGGGGAAGCTATGGTTCTGGAAGTGATGCCAGATATGACAGGTTGGGACCTCAAGCAGCAAATCAAAGACAGACACCTTTGGGATGATGAGCTTACACGTGAAGTTCACTTGGTGATCATTGTGCTGGGAGATGGCAAGTTGTTGAATAATGATGACACTCTTGCGGACGTGGGGATTGCTACAGATTCCAGCGTTACGGTACTCTTCAAGGAAAATGCAGTGAGATGCTCTGATCAGGGCGCTTTCGCTGGGTTTGGTGCTGAGATCATGGAAGCTTTGCTTGTGGTTGAAATCCCAAATGGTGTTAGAGAAATCATGCCAAATGCCTTCACTGATTGCAGTTTTTTGGCAAATGTGAGGATCCCTGACTCAGTCACTCACATTGGGCGTCGTGCCTTTATGCGCTGCAGCTCCTTGGCAAATGTGTCCATGCCAGACTCAGTGACTGACATTGGCATTTCTGCCTTTTGTGGCTGCGGTTCTTTGGCGAGTGTCACCATCTCCAAGTCTGTCACCCACATTGCCGAAGATGTTTTTGGAAACTGTAGCTCCTTGGCCTGTGTGACCATTCCTGACTCAGTGACCTACATTGGGGATGGTGCTTTTGACAAATGTATTTCTTTAGCCAGTGTGACAATCCCTGACTCAGTTACCCAGATAGGGGATGCTGCTTTCATGAATTGCTTCTCCTTGGCTTCTGTCATCATCCCAGACTCAGTGGCCCACATCGGTACATGTGCTTTCGTCGACTGCGGCTCTCTAGCAAGGGTGACCCTCTCCAACTCACTGACAGACATCGGGGAATTTGCCTTCTCAGACTGCAGGAGGTTGGCATGTGTGACCATTCCACATTCAGTGACCCACATTTGGGACGGTGCTTTCAAGAATTGCAGCGCTTTGGCAAGTGTGGTCATACCCAATTCAGTCATGCGCATTGGCAGCAGTGCGTTCGCGGGTTGTAGCTCTTTGGCGAGTGTGACAATTCCGGACTCGGTGACACACATTGGCAATGAGGCCTTTTCTGATTGTAGCTCTTTGTCAAGCATTATCGTTCCTGACTCCGTCACAGACATGGGATGTTGTGTTTTCGAAAACTGCACTTCATTGTCCAGCGTGACAATCCCTGACTCAGTTACCCAGATAGGGGATGCCGCTTTCATGAATTGCTTTTCTTTGGCTTCTGTCATCATCCCTGAATCTGTCACACACATTGGACATCGTGCTTTTGAAAACTGTACTTCTTTGTCTAGCGTGACATTTCCTGACTCAATCACCCAGATTGGTGCTCATGCCTTCAGAAATTGCAGCTCGTTGACAGGCAAGTTGCTAATGTATGCATCTTATTCTGAGAGCGACTCAGAGTTAGACTCTTGTGAAGGGTGATAAGAGATTGTGGCAACACAAAGAGTTTGGAAATAATGAAGAATGCTAGTACGACAGCGGATTGACCCGTGGCTGGGTTCAGTGCGATTGTCAATCTCAGCATTAAAATCTTCTTCGCCCGGTGTGAAGTAGTGGAGGTTCAGGCAGCAACACATTGAAAATCTTCATCCACTACTTCCTGTGCTGCTTCGAAAAAAAAAAAAAGTCACGGCGCAGACTCTGCTGAACGTCATGTCCATGCACAATGCAACACACCCGTGATCTCGCGCAACACCAACGCCTCGGTGTCAACACCGACACGTCCGCGCCGGCGTGAGACAAAATTCATCCGAGAGCGTGAGAGCGTTCCCGCCCTGTGGTGAGAGATGTGCGAGCGTGAAACAGGGTTGACAAACGGTGTCAATAGACTTTATTGTTTAAAGTTTGTTCAGAGGGTTTCAACGGCTTCAATGGGATTGTTATGTCTATTTATTGTTGCTCGGGTTCAGGGTGATCTGTTTCTCTTGCAGCTTTGTTTTTTGACAGGGAAAGGCTCTCCTCCAGGCTCTCGGTTGTTTGGTCCATGGGGTCCGGTGGCGCCACAACCGAAGATCGTCTGCCATGTTCCGCCGTTTCGTGTCGTTGGAAAAACCCGTTCCGTTCCGGTTTTTCCCTTCGGGTTTGGTCGGGTTCTTCGTTGGTCCTCGTTTTGTCGTTGTTTTTCCGAGGCCATCATTTGCCCCATGTGCCTTGACATGCAATTCGTGAACACTCGTGGCGTGAAACTCGAGGGAGGTCACGTGCCGGGGCGACTTAGTGGAGTGAAGAAGGTCTCATGAAAGGGTGGCTCAACGTTTCTCACACACCAGGTCAGAAGCATCTAAGGCCAAAACAATCACAGCTGGACTAGCCTAGACTAGTGAACATGGATGTTCCTTTTGGGCGTTTCTTGAGCGTTGACTTCTCTCAGGAAACCATTCCTGAGCTGGATGGACCGGCTGAATGATAATCACGTACCGCCAGCGAAGTGAACTGCCGCCACTGAAGAACGTTTAACAGCCACTGGGCTAACCCACAGATACACACAGCCTCCTTAGCGCGGCTGTACCGATGCACTTGCCAAGTACTGCACCAAGCTGCCCACTTTTGCCTATCATGAATCCGCACTTTTGCCGCATAAGCGATCTGTTCTGGGCATGGGATTGGGCATGGGATTGGACTTTCTGGGCAGTACAGCCAGACACTGAAAAACACTCATCCCGATGGCAGTGGAGTGAGTCGACTCCAACTCACGACTCGGTGCAGTGAGAGCCGACCGCAGGAGTACGAAGGCTGCGACAACGGCATTTTGGCGCCTTGGGCTCCGAGTTCGTCCAATGACGGGGGAAAACGGTCTCAGCGCCATAGCGGTCTCAGCGCTATAGCGGCAAGGGCTAGACCAGTTGGGATCTCCAAAAAAAGCTAAGCCATCCTATGAAGTCGACACAAAACATCACCCAACTCTGCGGATTTTTTGGCTTTGCCTTTTGAGGGAAGTCAAGGTCTGACGTTTCGTTTCTAACCGCCAAGAATAATCAATAATTAGCAAGATCTTTCAATGATCCCTGCAAGTGTCGGCGTTTTCAGTGAGTTAGCAGTTGGTGGTGCCTTTGTTTAGTCCTGGCTGACATGTTCTATTTCTTTGACGGTCATGGGCCCACAAATTCACAGGTTGACTTGGGAGTTTGAGGGTGTACGATGGTGTACGTCCTCTATTTGTGTGGATGCACAGCTGATCTTTCACAGGATGACCGGATGACCGGATTTTATTGTTATTGTAGAATCTTCATGTCCAGGTGATCAACCCCGTGTTCGCCACCACCACCTGATATAAACCAAACACCACCGTCTACGCCCGAACGTCTATCGTTTTACCTCGGACGCGCCGGCGGCCTACTCCGCACGCGGCAGCCGAGGAGTGGGACGCGATGCATCCCTGGTTCCTGGGCTGTCGCCGGACGGTGCGCTTCACCCATGAGCTGCAAGAGCTCTGGATCACCTCCCTGGAGCGCAGAACGTGGGCGGAAGGGTTTTTGCCCGGATGTGTTCCACAAGTGACAGTCTCATTCTCCAGAAGGCACCGTGCGGCACCCAATGATCCCCCCAGCTCTTCGTAGCGCCGTTTCGCGCGCGCCCCTCGTGTCAGTCGTCTCGTCGTGTCGTCGTTCTCACCGCGCAGCTCGCGTCTTCTCGGTCAGGACGGGGTTCGGGCGCTCACCATCAGCGATGATCAGATCTTAGGGAAGTCCCCCGTGCTGTTCAAGCGCGAGCGACTCTTCCAGCCCCTTGGGTTGACCGGACCGGGACGTGGACGACCGGTGCCGTTGAAGAGCTGAATAGCTGCTGTTTGTGGAAGGATTTTTGAATGAGAAAGAGGCGGTATTCTAAGTGTGATGGGTTGAACACCTGTGTGCCTGGGTTTGAAGAGGTTGAACCCCTCAGCAGCTTGCAGACCTATCGTTGGTTGGTGTTTATGTCATTGTGTGCCCCTGAATAGAGGTTATCCTAGATTTGCCCTCCAACGCATTTTGATTCCTCATACTGTTGAATCTCAAAGAACGCAAAGAGCACCTCCTTTTGCAGGAGTTGCACCGCCCCCGCTAAAGCCCTTAAGGTTAAACATCGCATATTTTTCAATTGGGTACTCTCTCACTGTTTTTGTGGTGAGCGCATCGCACTGTTCATGTTTGGCAAACAGAAGCTTCTCCAGTGGTTCACATTGATGGCCTTAGGTATTGCGTGATGGAGCACAAGTACGACCCCTTCACCTTCTACTTTGCAGAATGTCCGCTGGCTTTGTTTCCACTTCGGTGTTGTTTCTGAGCAGCATTCCCTCCGAAAATCACTACTCTTTTATCATGTATTTCGGAAAGAGGCAACTATGATAAGTTGAAACCGAACACCTAAAAAACGTGATAACACGTGATTTCATAGAGTCTGACGGCGTCGGCGAGTCGTCTTGTCGTAAGTGGCCCTGTTTTCACCTCATCGTCACCACGATCGAGACATGCATTGACATGAAAGACCCGTGCTCTTGTTTGGGGTTTGTGTTCTTCAAGTATTGCAATTGACATGAATCCATTCAGACTTTCGTCTCATTTCACAGGATCATATTCCATGACTTATTTGTGCACCTTTAAGATGTGCTGGAGGTAGTCAGTGTCAGTCCGTGTCTTCAAGGAAGGAATCTACGAGTAGCTTGTGGGACATCCAAGTGGCCCTAATTTGGATTGGCTCGAGCATTCGGTCAGGGTTTCCCTGCACGCTGAACCCAGCGGGGCTGGGTTCAAATGCTTATTTTGGTGTTGTATTGAGAATGATCAGATCTTGTGGCGATGGAGATTTCCCTTTTACAGCTGAATGGCGAAATGTTTGTCCTGGAAGTCCTGCCAGATATGACTGGCCAAGAGCTAAAACAAAGAATCAAAGAGCAGCAGCTTTGGGAGGACGAGCTCACACGTAGAACAACCCGGTTGGAAGTTGTCCTTGCAGATGGCAAACTGCTGGACAACGACGAGACTGTGGCTGGCGCCGGTCTTTCTCCTGATTCTAAAGTGACAGTGGTCCTCAAAACAAATACTGTGACATGTTCCGACAAAGGTGCTTTCGGCGAGATTGGAAAGGACATTGAGCTGGAATCTCCCATGGTGGTTGAAATTCCAGACAAAGTAAGTGCAATTATTCCAAGAGCCTTCAAGGGCTGTAGTATGTTGGCCAAATTGACCATCCCTGAATCAGTGACCCGCATTGGGGAGTTCGCCTTCCGAGACTGCAGCTCCTTGGAAGCCTTGAATATTCCGGACTCTGTGACCTACATAGGGTCTGGTGCTTTTCTAAACTGTTGCTCTTTAGCAAATGTGAGTCTCCCCAACTCACTGACTCACATCGGCAATGGTGCTTTCTGGGACTGCAGGGCATTGGCACATGTAGTTTTCCCTGAATCACTGACGCGTATCGGGAATTTGGCTTTTGCGAACTGCAGCTCTTTGACCGATGTATTCATCCCTGATTCTGTGACTCACATTGGAGATGGTGCCTTTCGGGACTGCAGCTCCTTGGGAAAGGTCACCATTCCAGACTCAGTGACGTACATTGGAAAAAGTGCCTTCGCAAATATTGCATTTTGGGCAACGGTGATGGTCCCCGCCTCAGTGACCTATGTTGGCAGCGACGCCTTCCAGGGCTGCAGGTGCCTTCCGCACGAGGAGCCGCAGCCGGGTCTCAGCGAAGAAGACTTGATGAAGTGACTATAGTGACTAGATGGCAAATGAATGCGAGGATGACAAGAATCTAAGCTTTCTATACCATTCTCCACCCATAATCTGGGGATGTCTCACATGCCAAAGCCCCAACACCCACTGAATTGGTAGACCGTGCATATAGGGGCGCTTCGGGTAGAGGTTGCCTTCCGCCTTTGGAGCAGAATTGGAAGACCAAGGTGGGCACCATCAGTGAGAACACTGCATGGTACAGCTGGAGTTTCTTCATGGCTACGTATGATATGAGTCTCTCCGACTGGCACTGAGCTGAGTTCAATGTGGCTTCTTGAACATGCTTTTCGGTCGATCCATTCGCCACAAGAAAGGCGCTGACAAGTCGCTTCTCGGACGCTTGATATATGCGGCCGGTGTTGTTCTTTGCCAAGCTGATCAAGCATATTTCTAGCCAGCTGATCACAACAAGGACTGCCTGTTCTGACTGGCGAACAGGAATTAGACGCGCCCATTTTTGCGCGCAATGTTACTATTCTAGCAAAGTGATTGCCTACAAATCCTTGTAGTTTCTTTTGAGGATTGATCCGCGGTGTACAGAGCAGGTGGAACGTGGAAGAAGTATAGCCGAACAGGATGAAAAAGGTTGATGTGCGTTTTGGGAGGACACGTTGCCTGATTGGGAGTCTTGACTGATTGGTGCGAGTTCAGAGCAGATTGAACTTGAGTTAAGAGCAGATTCTATGCACCGAGGGATCCAATATGTTCATTTGTTCTGAGAGGTTGGTGATGGTTGGTGGTTGTTTTTTTTCTCTTTCGGGGTCTGTGTGGAAGCTTCTCCATCTACAGGCTGTTCTGTTGGATTAATATGGGTATACTGCCGAAGTAGTACAAGAAGCTCATGTTTTCGCTTCTTTTCGATTCCAGTCCTTTTCTAAAGAGAATGTGGAACCCTGGACCGAACCCTTTTCCGAACCTCCAAACCGGATGGGACATTCTTCCATGTCTTTTTTCCCTTTTCGACGTGGGATCCGTCGGGATCCAGTTGTAGCTCGGTCAGATGGCAGTGGATCCTTAGGGATCCAGTCGATGGCCCCGCACCTGTGGACTGATGTCCTATGCACTTCCTTTTCCGATATGCCAAGGTTCTGATTCAGACAGAGAGACATAGTGAGAGATCTCGTTAGTTCGGTGAGATCCCGCCGGAACTCCACTCTTGGCTTGTTTTGACCAGACCACTGGTTGAGTCGATGGTTTCAAGTTGAGAGAACCGGTTGAGGCAGGAGTCGTTTTGTTCTCGTGTGGAAGGGGGCTCTGGAGTCGAAGGTCTTCCAAGACGTCATTTTGCAGTGTGGGGAGATCTCAATGTTGAGATATGTTGAGACAGACCCTTGCGGCAGCGTGGAGACACAACATCATGTTTTCACAGTGACCTCTTTGCCAGGCAATTGCGAGTATTGCATGCGCCTCCTCACCATCTCCAACCTCTACAACATCCTCTACCAGCACCAATGCTTCTGGGCATTTACTTAATTTGTCCAGTGTTTAGGAGGGGTTACATGTAATCACACATGTTTGTAGAATCCCATTTAAGCTCAACTAGCGAATCCAGGTACGCTCCAAACGATAGTCATATTACGCTCCAAATGTAATGAGATCTGATATTGACATGCTTTGTATGGACATGTTCGACCCGGTTTCACATGGTTTCACCTTTTGACTTGTTGTATATGTGCTTCGAACTGTTCTTTTGTTTAGTCATGTTTAGACAAATCAGAAAACGTGATGCAATCCTCAGAAGGCAACACGTTCAGGGTTCTTGTCGCTGGAGTTTTCTCCCAGAAAATCAGAGGGTCGCCATGCGGTGTGGTGCAAATCTCGTTGTGCAACTCCTAGGTGTGTTCTTCTTTCAATGCCACACGTTCGGTCGATCACTAAAGACAGGCAACTTGTGAGGAGCCTCTATGGCCAGGATTTCTTTTCTTGGCCTGTAAATTATCGATTAAAGTCTAAGTGTGGCACTGTGAAGCGTCACCCTGGTGGGGTTTTAGCTTTCGATTTAGCTAACGGCACAATTACTGGTCCTGTCTACCATTGCTCAACGAAAGTTGACTCAGCCAGTTTGGCAGTCCAACTGCTGTCATCCCCATGAGGCTCACAACTCAACCGTCCTGCCGTGTTTGTCCCGTCCTGCTGGTTCTGGATGAACCGCCTCGATCCAGGCTCTGCCCGATATGGCCTATACTGCCCCTGCTTCGAGGCACGAAGCGAAACGCTCAATATCATGCTACTGTGACTGGTCAATGAATTTGTCTTCAGATGAGCAAGGTGGCCCCCCTATATATATATATATCAAACTGTCCCGCACCTTCAGAAGGGGACGGCAAACCCTGCCGGGAGTGTCACTGTCATGGCCGCCGCTGTAAACATAGTTGTGCCAACTGATGAGGAGTGCGGCAAGGGCGTCAATAAGAGAGAGAGAGAGAGAGACAGAGAGATTTAAAAAAAAAAACACTATGTCACTATACAAAAAAAAAACAATAAAGAATGCAAACAAATCAAGCAGGCAACACAGAGAGCGGGCCACTCGAATATTGCTTTAAGCCTCCAAGCCAGAGTGTGTTCGCTGCATAGGACCTGGGGTCTCGCCGCTTGCCAGACTTTTCCCTTAGCGGCGCTTGTGGCAGAAAGGCTGGGTGATGGAGAGAGCGACTGCCACCATCCACATGAGTGGTCAACCAGCGACATCTTCAACCGGAGACCTTCTGAGCTGCTCCACCTGGTGAAACTTCCCGCACGTCCTTCTCGCAGAGATATGGTGGGAGTGTCCCGAGGAGTGAGGTGAAAGGATGGGAAGCTCCAACATCTTGAGGTCGGACACATGGTGAGCTGAAAACAGCACCAGCCCAGAGCGGCCACTGACTTGGCCCCGCCGTGGGACGAGACAGATCGATCCCAGAAGTCAGACATGTCCGCAGCATCGCAGCATGGCGGCGGCGAGTTTGCGCGTGGGGCCACCCTGGTCACCCGACTTCGTAATTTTTGTTTAATAAGTTGTATTTTTTCTGATTCTTGCACCGTTTCTGCTCAATGTTGCCTGGATTCGAATCTAGAAGCTGATTAGGCCCCTGCACAGATCCTATGCTGGCAACGTCGTGGACCCCGGAATCAAGTCTTGAATTCATGGAAAGATGTTTTCGTTCGAATGGGGGGAACTTCTGTTTTCGTTTGTGCTTCGTGGCAGTTGGAGCCGAACGATTTCTCGACACCCAGACATCGCTCGTTGAAGGCCTCCGAGGTGCAGCACGACACCTCCACTTGGACCACCCTCGAGCCCTTACGCCATATGAGGAGCGCCGTTTCTGGTGTTTTTTTGTGGAATGATTGGCGCTGTCACTGACGGTACGACTGGGCTCTCCTGGCGCCTACATAACAGTGTCTCCAATCGGGTATGTGGATCCCTAGGGTGGGAACTCCTGGAACTCCTGTTATTCCTGTTATTTGTTCTTATCGATGTTCGATGTGGCTGCTGAAAGCTTGGGATGCAAACACTTTTTTCCCGACCTAGAAGTTCCCCACAGCAGGAGAGTTGAAAGAAACATGGATGATTTTCAACTATCAACTATCCAAGATGAGAGTGGGTGCATTACTTACACTTTGGAATACGTTTAACCCATGATCTCGGCCTAGTTTTTCTTCCCTACTTGTGGATGGATTTGATCATTTTTGATGGCATTCCCACTGCAATTCCATGTTTCAAGGCCCCAAATGATGTCAAAGGAACACATTTTGACATTGCTAACCTGCCGACCCTTTTGGCTGCTGATTCCTCCAAGGTGTATTGATTGCCGTCATTACGCCCACACCAACACCCACTTCCAACCTGACACAGAGGCAATATAATGCAATATTTGTATAAGCATTCCACATGTCTCCCGTTTTCATGCGGAGCTCTTAAGGAGTGCTTCCCTCTATCCAACAAACATGGAAGTGAATGCCATGGCCCCGAATGAGACTATTCTCCCAACTCTCTCTACCACCAACTGACATATTGCCTCCAACCTAAGAGCTTTGGCCTCCAACCTAAGAGCAATGGCCTCCAACCCAAGAGCGATGGCCTCCAACCTAAGAGCGTTGGCCTCCAACCTAAGAACGATGGCCACTTCCTAGTTTGTTGGAGGGGCAAGCAACAAAGTGGTTCTCCCCCATACTGGTACTTGGAGGGCAGTGCCAGCAACGAGGATCCACATTTGCCGTGGCTGCGCCTACACCTCACACTGTGCCAAAATGCTGAAGGCTGAGATGTGCGGAATCGGTGGATCGATTCTGTGTTCACTTCATGCGGATAAAACAGAAGTCTTCCTGTCTCCCACACTTCTTGGTGTCCGATGTGTCAGCCATCGTCCGATCGTCGGATTGCTCCGAGATAACGAGGTCATCCTGGAAAATAAGGGTTCTTTCTTCTGGAAGGACTTCATGATGACCCACATGATGTAGGAGAACTCCTCCAGGTGTCAGCTGGCAGAACTATCATTCAAGGACCCAGCTGACCCAGCTGGTTGACATAGACAGACCTGATGGTTTCTTCTTTGGCCAATGCGAGGTCTCCATATGTGTACATTTTCCTGACCATGTGCCCAGTGTCCTCTCATTTTCTGTCCATGTTCTGCTTACTTTGCGAACCCTGCGGAGGTGGCTACCTGTGAAGTCTCCGACACAGGATATCAGCTGGGAAATCCCTTTGCCCGGGAGCCCAGATCCGATGAGAACCCTGCCATGGCGGGGCGATCAATGGCCAGCTGAGGAGGTGTTTGGATGCGTTTGGCACTATGCCACCATAGAAAGTCCCCGTGTGTTTTTGTTGGATGTTCAGTTTTGGACTCTGGGTTCACTTGATATGGCTTGGCATCCACTAACTGTTTTCCTGTTTATGATTGCCAGATTGAGGCACTGTGCACTTTGCACTGCCCCCAAATCTACCAGGTCCGTTTGAAACCCTGAGTCGAAACGGCACCCAAAACAGGGCCAAAAAAACTTGCGCCCCAAACCATGTCAATAAAGAACCTTGGGAGGCACGGCCGCCAAATGTACCGGGTGCGTTTGAAACCTTGACACCTCAAAGCAGGTCAAAAAAGGACCTTGGGAGGCACTGCCCCCAAATCTACCAGGTCCGTTTGAAACCCCGAAACAGCGCCCAAAACAGTGAAAAAAAAAAAAAAAACAAAAACTACAGCTTCGCCACAGCTTTCCCCAACTGCCTCCAAGGCCCTCGATTTGATGCATCCAGTCGACGCAATGGCGTTCGGAAGCTGCGTTGGTTCAGAACATCCGCCAAGGAAAGGAGCACAAGGTTTCCAACAACCACTACAAAGGAGGGAGGTCAGCCATGCCGCGGGGGCATGATGACTCATGGCTGGATACCCACAAGTCACAAGACCTAGTTTTGATGATTCTGCACCGACTGTGCTCGGGATATGTTTCTTCAACTTCACTGTTTTTGGCCCAGAGCCAGCAGCCAAGCTGCTGAGTATCTACACTTGCTCTTCGAACACCCTGAAAGAAAAGGTGAACAGCTCAACAAACAGATGAATTTGAGATTTATTGAGAGCGATCGGCTCCCTGGTTGAGAAGGAACGCCAGCATCCACGTGGCATTTGATCGATTGCACATTCCTTGCAAAGATCTTTTTGCCGGGACAAGTGGAGATCAACAGCAGTACAGTAGGATGTTGGAAGAACAACAGCAACAACAACAACGACGACGACGACGACGATTCAAAATGATTGGTCGATCCACATGCTGGCAAATGAACATCCATCATGCATCTCCGTGGCCGATCACCTTCGGAGGCCTATAGGTTGGGCAGCCACAGCCGGCAAGGCCGGCACGGTGGATCCACGGAACGCGCTGGTGCCGGAAGCGGTCAGCTTGCTGAAAGCGAGCGCAATGGACAACTTGCTGGAAAGCTGAGTCTCAGCGGCTTCAGGATTTGAGCATTGCTATGAGCAATGAGAGTTTTTGTGATTCCTTGTTTTCTTGTGTTGGATCGACTGGCTTGGTTTGTTCCCAAGTTGTGGAGATATCTTTAAAACCCATGACCTGCTGTCTCCAATTGATTGGGCCTCGGCTCGTGGTTCAGTACTGTAGCATCTGGACCAAAGTCCAGCCTTGCATCAAGGAACAAATGATTGTCTACAGTGTATCGAGTTCTTTACATCCATCCATGCCCCTGATCTAAGAGGCATGATTGATAGTAATCCTGTTCATGTCATTTCATGTCAATGTTTGAGCATCGTGTCTCCAGCTTGGAAAAAGAGTCACAAGTTTTCGTTGTGACTCCATTACACATGTGCTTTTGCTTCCTGCGTGGTTCCATGGTTTTTCTTCCTTTCAAGGGGCTTTAGTTTGCCTTTTTCACGCTGTTTTGGAGTCTGCTAGGTTCTCCTTCCTCTCACCTGGTACTCCATGTACTTGCCGGTAGATAGAGGCGGCCCACGGTGAGTTCAATCCTTGTCAACCACCCTTGGGCTGAGGCGCCCACCATTTTGGAGAACGGCTTCCAGAACACCTCCTTGGCACCTTGACTGATGAAAGTGGCTTTAGCGAGTGACCCAGGTGCATGTGCTTTAAAACTTTAAGTTCTTTGCAATCCTTGGAACAAATTATATACCGACTCCTGACCCATTGCTTGATCAGCTTATTGAAGAGTTCTATCTGAAAACGTCCAATTTGATCTACAGTTTTTTGCACCTGCGTTTTGGTTGGCGGGTCCGGCGGGTCCGCACTATTACACATCTCGAACAGGCAAAATGTTAGCAGGTGTTTGTCCATTTGCACAGAGATTAGAGATCATGGATCATGGAGAGATCATAGGATACATTATACTATCAGGGAAACACAGTTAGAATATGAAATAAATAAATTTAGGTATTTAAATTCAGATCACTTTCGGACTCCCCGTGCGAAAAAGCAGTTAGAATACGAGTGCAGATAGAATATATACAAGCATCATTTTAACAGGACAAGAACCACTAAAACAAACTGATACTGTTCCGTGCAAAAACAAGCAAGCAAGCATTGCTCGATCAACATCATCCAGAAGCAGCAACAGCAACAATTTAACAATCACAACAAGCACAACTGCATACAGTAGGGTATGCACACAATTAGACTAACACGTCTTTGGGATATGGCGGCTCATGGGGACGCTGTGCTTCAAAGACTTGTTAGCTGATCTTGAATTTTGCATTGTTCATTTTGCATTGTTCTTGAATTTTGCATTTTCATTTGCATCTTCCGTTCTTGCATACAGCGCTCTGGGCAAGCATGCCAACACATCGCTTAAAAGAGGAAATTGAAACCTATTGTAGTGTATATTAATTGGCTATGTGAACGCATATGGAAAGACTGCAGTTAGAATATATGTTCAACGGTACTTACACAACTACACCACAAACCATTTTGATGAAGATATCGTTCCCATTTATTGACACACATCATTTGTTGAAAAATGCATCGCTTATCATTATTGTACTGTATATTAGTTGCCTATGTAAATGCATATGGAGAGATTGCAGTTAGAATATGTTTACAACCCAATCCAAACGAGATCATTCGAATTTATCATTGAATTCATTCCTCATTCAGTGGCCATGGACGATTTGATGGAAGCAGCAGCCAGGGGAGTGGTCAGCGCTCAAGATTTGGCGCGTTCAAGACCACCACCCCCGTTGCCAGCACCGTCAGTCGCGCCAGATCCCGAGCTGGAGGAGAGTGCCGAGGACGTTCAGGATGATGCAGTCCCGGCACCACCACAAAGCAAGAACATCTTTGTGTTCAAGCAGCACGTGAGAGTGAACGTGCTCGGCGAAAGCCGAAAGTTCGAGCAGAAGTTCTGGGGGGCTACGGTTGAGGGGGTCTCAACCATGGCTGCAGAGATCTTCGAGCAAGAAGCGCTTGCAACACTGGCTGTTCTTGACTCTTTGAAGGGGAAACCAAAGGAGCGCATTACATTTCTTTTGGAGAGTGATGTTGACTCCAAGTTTGCAGCGAAAGGAAAATCCTTAGTCGCCCAAAAGGAAGCACTTGTCAGGCAGTTGTGCAGAGGCAAGGTGAGGAAGGTGGAGAAGGCTGTCATTGAGAAGCTGATCAAGCGCATGGCTGGGCCGAAGGATGACATCAATCAGTGGAGCATCAATCCTACGTTGTTTGGATTCACGGTGTCCTTCGCTGGTGGCAAAGAGTTGTTGGAGAAGAGTTTTGCACGATTCAACGAGGCAATCCGCTGGCTGAAGTCCCTATCAATTGCCAACAAGGACATTCTTTGGTCGGCGTTGTAACTCGGACGAGTTTTGGCTTTTGTACAGTAGTGTACTGATAGTGTACTGTATTGTCTGGGAATATATTGACCAGTGCAGTTAGAATATGAACAAATGTAGAGTTGAGTCAGTTCTCAAACTTTAGTCAACTTGTGGAAATCACTGACGCAGGACGGCACTTTGAACAAGTCTCTTCAAAAAGTGATAGACAAAACAAAGCCAGCTATGGCGCAAGAAGCTGCGTTGAAGGCCTTGGCAAATTCAGAGATGAAAGAGGTGCTTGAGGAAGTCGACTGCAACTCAAGCTTGGACAACACAAAGGATGTGACGGCCGACTTCCTTGCACCAATGACCAGGTCTGAAGAAGACCTAGACGAATGCCCTTTGTTTGTCTACAAGGGCCTCATCAGGAAATTGGAGAGCATCTCTGGCAAGGAGACTGTTGAAATTGGCGTGTTGACTGGCAAGGAGGGTCGTGTGTTGGATGTAATTACTGCTTCATCGGTTGGCTCTGTCATGACCAACCCGTTTGTGATCGAACGATGGCAGAAGCAGGACTACAAGGCTTTGGGGGTGGTGGTTTGGACAGAGAGCGAACCTGATGCTCACAAAGATCTCATTGAAGCCAGTGGATTAGAGCATCCATTGCTACTCATGACTTTTCCATTGAAACCGGATCGGAGGGCCTGGTTGACTCAATGGAATGACGGCGACATCTCTTTCAAGCCTGTGGCCTTGTGCTCCCAATCAAACAACCGGAAGAAGAACGACATTTACGCGGTGTTGCCGGCCAGTAGAGTTGGGACAAGCTTTGAGGACCAGGCCAGGGTTTGTACTGTACTGTACTCTTTTCATATTGCACAAGCAACTTCAGCAGTGCACATAGAATATGAACCAAGTAATGTGCACACGTGCAGCATGTTGTTTTCCCAAGAAATGTACACGAACAGTGAACAGGCGCATTGCGCAGTGTCTGAAGCTGTCTACAAACATATACAGCAGGCAGCGCAGGAGAGAAAGAAGGACCGTGGTCCCTCGCGACAATATAGAATCTACTCAGCTCCTCCTGACGGACTGTGCTGCTACCATTCAATTTTGGCTGGCTTGCGCTTTGAGGAATGGTCAGAAGTTGCACGTGCTCCAGATGGTTTCGCTGTCAATGCCAGAGTGGTGGAAAAAGAGTCTACAAATGCCAAGCAACTTCGTCAATTGGCATTGGATTCTACGGACAAGCGTGACCAGCTGATGGTGGAAATGTCCAAATCCGCTCAAGATCGTCTTACAGTGGATGTGCTGGAGTTGACGTGGTTAGGGAAAACGCTGAACCTTGCTATACGGTGCACCATTGAAGCAAAGGCCGGATGGGTTAAGTTAAACCGTATTCTAACTGCATTGAAAACCAAACAGTTTTGTTACAACACAATACTGCAAGAACAAAGGCTTACAAGTACAGCACAATCTCATAGAGCATACAGTAGAGTAGAGTACAGTACAGTAGGGTACTGTACAGTACAGTCTTGTAATTTTATTCTACTGTAGGTATTGTACTGTGCTATACACTATGCACACACCAGAAGAACATTCAACCTTCATCCTTACAGGCATATTGTTGGATTGGCAGCAGTACCGGCAATAGTGTACAACAAGATGCAATTTATGGACCAGAACGCACAGAAGATGTTCACTTGATGTATGAGTGGAAAGTGAACCCTGACACAGAGCAGTATTACAGCCATTTCAGTCTCTTAAGGCCAATGCACCGTGAAGATGCTTCAACTCCAAACACAATATGGCTGCCTGTGAAGGCACCACACCAGGCCCCAGTGTCATGCGAACAGGCTTACGGCAATACACTTCCACCAGTACAAGAACCAGCGGGCATTGAGGATGCACACAGAGCCCAGCAAGCAGGTACCATCCAAGAAGCTCAGCAAGCACCGGTGCAGGTTCACATCCCTGCGCAAACACAAGCACTACCAGAAGCAGCAAACAACAAGGAAGCAGAACCGCAAAGTAAACAGGAAGCGCCGCTGGCAGAGACATCCGAGCAAGCACCGGTGGAGGTTGACAGCCCTAAACCAACAGAAGCA